TTTTTCGTTTGAAACAAAAAACAAAATAATGAGAAACCACCCTTTTTTCTTTTTCGTTTCAAACCAAAAACAAAGAAACCGTAAAAAAAGAGCCGTTTTCCCGTTTTTGGTTCTGCATTCCAAAAATGAAAAACGAAAAAAAAACAAATCAAATAACGGTCCGATTTGGGTTTTTGGAAATTCCTTTTTCCATTTTTCCTTTTTGAAGATCTACATTAAAACACCGACAGGTTGGTCACCGTGACCCGGAAGTAATAGTAAATATGGCCTATCAAAATAAAAGCCAAGCTATTAGAACGGTCATAATATGCAGCACGAACGTTATACCAGAGTAACGTTAGAAGAAGAAAAATCATTAAATAAATAGGCTTATATAAATCTGGACCGGAATAAATATGTTAGCAACAGTAGTTTATTACAGCTATTTACTATCATGCCTATCCAGCCATCACCAGTCACGTTTAATGAGCGCATTGTTTGGCTCAATACAGTTGGTAATATGGGTTAACCTAGGAACTTATAGTGTGTGCAGAGTTGTTACTGTTAGCGCTATATTATATAATTATATTTAATGTGTTTCCCACCGTAATGGACCACTGTTCCCCCTTTCTACCAGCTGGTGGCAGTATTTAAATGACTGACTGTATGGTGTCTTTGGTAACTGTTTTAAATCAAGACTACTGATACAGATATATTTATTGTTGTTCATTTTATTTGGTTTTTGATTTTATTTGCCTAGTTATCATCATCATCATTCATCCAGCCCAGAGTTAAACCTGCTTCTGTTTTAACCTGATTTTAACTATGATTCTAACACTGCTATCAGCTTTTTAGCAGCTCAGACAACAAACATCAGAAATGTCCTAATGTAGGCCATCTGGCCAAAAGAATGATTTACCAGTGTGCTGGGTGAATCTTTCTTCTCTATACACATTCCAGTGTGTATAAAATACAAAACTCTGATAGTGTCATGCAAGTGAAGAGAATCCATACAAGTCTTAAAACTTTATATAGCACATTCATGCTTTCAAAGGCATTGGATGTACAATCAATGGCTGCAGAATATTTGTTAAGCCCTAAGGTAAGACGATTTTACAAGGTCCTCAAAAGAAATAACAAAAACATAATTACATTACAAAAAAAAAAAAAAAAAAACAGGCTGTCAACGCTGATTACATCAGCAATAACCGCAACAAAATGTTTCCAGTAACTTTTGAACAGTCATGTCATGTCCATACTTTAACCCGTTTAATCCCACCGGTCACAATTGTGACCGCAGCTTTTTTCTTATTTCTGGAAGCTCTAAAAATTTTGTTATTGACTTTGGGCAAGAAATTCAACTTTTAAATGACAAAATAGACTGTCTTGATTGAAAATCAATTAATGTCATGTGACTAGTGTGAAAGGTCACATGACCAGATCAGTTCACTTCCTGCTTGCACATCTAGAAGAAGATTTCTTCCTCAGACTACTAAAATAAGTAGTATATAAAACATCTTAATTTACAGATAGAACGATCAAATTTTGTACATATATTCTTTAAAGGGTCTACTACTGATATATTTTGAGAATTATACTCCTGCATTTATATTTTGCTCGTAAGACTTGTAAATTTGTTTACGGTCACAATTGTGACCGGTAGTATAACAGTATAACAGTGCTTCAATTGAAAACGCAGGTATTGGCAGATATTGGCGGGTATTGGCAGTCCTACACTGAATATGCCACATCTGTGAGGAGGATGGATGATCTCAGCGAAGGAGAAGTGCTCACTAACACAGATTTAGACAGATTTGTGAACAATATTTGAGATAAATAGGCCTTTTGTGTACATAGAAATGGTCTAGATCTTTGAGGTCAGCTCATGAAAAATGGGGGCAAAAACAAAAGTGTTGCATTTATAATTTTGTTTAGTGCAGTTATCAGTATCCCAGAAACGTTCAATGTGTTGGACCTTCTTGACGTGCATGACCCCCTTCCCCCCACCCCTACCCCCACCCCCACCCCAAATTGAAAGTGACTGTGATAGTGAAGGCTCAGATAGGGAGTCCCAGGGTGAAACGGCCCTTTTGCCAGGTAGACTATTGAATGGCGATGCAGAGGTGAACTATCTGGAGGATTGTACAGATGTCCATGAGAACTAAATGGTGTGCCCCACACATGACCACAAACAACCCTTTCTACAATATTCGGCCCATCTTCAATGCACTGAAAGAGTGCACACACCTGAAACTGGCCTAGGACAGGGCCCAAGTGTAGACATGGTCTAGCCCATAGGGGTCTAGCCGAACAAGCAGAAGTTCCTCCAGGGTGTAACTTTGTTCATGACAACCTTTTCACCTCACTAAGCCTTCTTCACGAAATGACAAAACGAGATATTGGATGTCTTGTAATGAATTGTGTCAATAGATCTAATTGAAGAATTTGAATTAATTCTGACTTTGTAGTTTCCCATCGGTCACTATTGTGACCGAGTATAAAACCTAATATTTCACCAACTTAACCAACATAAAATCAAAAAAGGCATATTGTTTGAGTGTTAGGGAGATCTAAGGAGTAAAATGCATGTACTCAAGTTGCAAGAAAAAATTTGGGATTGAACGGGTTAATGTCCTTACTTATGATCAGACTTGCAGCACTGTCTTTATATTTCAATGAAAGTTTAAATATTAACATAAAAATGTTTTAGAATGGCAGAAAATTAAGAAATGAGAATGTGCCTGTACACCTAGCCCTATGTCTCTTAATCAGCTTAAGCTTTAAACTTCTGTTTGCTTACAGTCCCTCTGACTGCAGCTCAGGATATCATTTGGACTGTGCAATGACAGATATCACAATAGATGATGGAGAAGTGAACTGTGCATCACCACGCTGCATGAACTTTATCTGAAAAAAGTAGGCTATTTTAAAGTAGAATTCCATAAATTATATTCAATAAATATTATCAAAACTTTAGGTGTTCTCAAGTGGTCTTGTATCAAATAATGATGGCAGTTGTTAAGTATAGGTTATTCTGCTGAATCTGCTCATTAAAGGTAAATTGTCTTTTTTAAGAGTATTTGGAAACCCTTTATTTCAAAATCTAATTTCAATAATAAAATAAATGAGGTAGAAAGAGATAAAATAACTTGATTCTCAACCTATTCTCACCTCATGTTATTACTAGTAAATCATTAATCATCTAATCATTTACTATTTAATGGTCCCTCTCATGTCATGATTTGCTTCTCTTGTAAGCCTGATTACTTCTAACTAATGTGTAGCTATCCTATTTGACCCATGCCTGTTTTTTTATTTTATATACATGTAAACATATTATTTTTTTGTTACAATTATTATTCTTTTTTATTTTGACTTATTTTCTATTTTATTTATTATTACTATTTATTTATTATTATTATTTTTATTATGTAAAAGAGATCCAACCTTTTAATGTACATTATTGTTGTATTATACTGGCAGAAGTTGTTGGTATCTCAATAAACAAAGTATTACGACAACAGCCTGCCTGATAAGCATCTCATCACTCTGGCAAATTAATATTATTCAACATATCCCAGCCTTTTTACAGAAAATATTCCAAAATTTTCAAAACCCCCCTTTGTAATTGAAAACATTTTCTTAAGCAACTAATTTAATTAACATTTTTTGTCAGTAACTAATAACTAACGGATTACAGTTCATTCACAGATGATCATTTCACAGATGATTGCAATTATAATGAAAGAGAACACCCTGAAAATACATTCAATCAACACTTTATTCAATCATTTGAAATATAAAGGCTGCAGCAAAACAAAGCATGCAAGTGACAATTCTTAAAAGGTTAAATCAACGTATGTGTAAAGCTAGTGTTTGTTAGATAATACATACAAAAGCAGTACAAATACAACTTCAGCATCTTAGCTCCGACCACCTAATCTGTAAAAAAACAAAACAAAAAAAAACACAAAAAAAAAAATAAAAAATACAGTGCTGAATCTTGAGGTTTAATAGCTTGCACACTGTGATAACTGATCATATCAGCAGGCAGTGTTTTCAGGGTCCGCTGGACACCCTCCTCTATGGGGGAGATGAGCTGCGCCCAAGTGAAAGAGGAGCGCTTCAGACACAAAACTGCAGCACTTTGAGACTAGGCTGGTACATATCCCATAAACACCCATAACCTCACATACAGAAAACATTCACTGATCCTACATTGGAGGACAAAAGTCACCTCTCATAAAAAAAATAATGTGACAAAAATAAAGACTTGTTGTTAAGGAATTTTTCAGTTGACAGGTTAGCTGTCAACTGAACTTGTGATTGCGTAGTGAATTACTTTCAAAGAGCTGCTTTAAATACAATGAAAAACTTCAACATTATTCAAAGCACCATGCAAATGTGTCTACGGTCTGTAATAACTTTACTAAAACTATTAGCCATTATAAAAAACTGTCTATAAAAATACCAAAAATGCCATCTTATAAAATATAAACATGATAAAAAAGAAAAGGGTTAGTCACAGAATCTGATGTGGACGAGTTCAGAAAAGCATCCTCAAACTCACATGAAAAGAAAAGCGTTTGGTTCATTCAGTTTAAGCTGAAACATTCACAATAACAAACTGAAGTGAGAGATTTTACAGGGAAAAAAAAAAAAAAAAATTTCACTCGATCACACAGGAAGCTTTATGGTGGGTAAACTGGCAGCTCTGATTGGCTGAAAAGTTGATCACATGACCAAACAGCCTCTCTTGGCAGCACGTGGATCTCCCTGTGAAAACAGTGTAACATTGAGCAGAACCTCACACACACAATGACGAGGAGGTAATGGATGAAGCTGATGTGTGCTTAATATCAGACCTGCTGGTGAAAGAAGCGCTCCTCGATGACATCAGCGTCCTCCTCCTCCTCTTCCTCCTCCACTGTGGTGTTGAAAGCTGTGCTCCTCACAGCCACTTCCTATAGGGACAGGGATACTTCAGAACAAACCGCGCACAATGCCTCCTGTAATAAGAGCTAGGCTGTGGTCATAAACCTCACCTCTCCATCTGGGCTCAGTAGAAGCACTTTAATGTCCTCGCCACTTCCCCATGAGCTCTGGCTCTTCCAGATCAGGTCAGCAGGACTGGAGCTCACGCCTGCATCACACGCCCAGATCTGATCAGACCAAAACAAGACCCAAAAGAGAGTGTTTGAAGGCCCATGCTGATATCTCAGGTGACAGGGCTTTACTTGTATATAGATGTGATGCGTACCGTCACTTTCTGTCCAGCCTTCAGGGTGTATTTAGCAGTGAATTTATACACCGCAGAAACATCACCGACAGTTTGAATCAGCTGAAATCCTGCCATGGGTTGATCCTGAAATATTAAAATCAAAAACTATCAATTTACTTTCCACCAACTTCAAAAGCGTAGGAGCATTAAAGTTAATTTAGAGTCCTGAATGAGTTTGCACGCGAGATTGCAGTGAGTCGAACGCACCTGCTCAGAGTTGTTGTGTAAGCGTATGAACTTCCCGTCCACGTCCAGCTCATCGATGCAGATGTTTCCAGTGGCAGATGCCGAGTGAGCGATGCGCACGCTGCTGCTAGCCTCGGACTCCTCCATGTCCACACGCTTCCTCTTCCCGTGCGTGGTCCGAACACTGCGGCTGGAGGACGCCCGCGACACCGTCACGCGAGACGAGGGGCTGGGAGACAGCTTCAACCTGACACCGGAGACATTGCGCTCAAGCAAATCAACATCCATGCAGGCAAACAAGAACTTCAGCCAAGATAAGAGCCAATGGCCAATGCAGCGGTGACAGAAACATCCGTTCAGAAGAGTCTCTGACACCGTGTCCTAACTACACGTGACGCGATAAAATTCCAGCGACAGCAAGTGTCTGTCCACACTAGACACGACGCGACTGTGAGACGCCACACATTCAGAACAGCGTGTGAGCCTATGGTGTGAGCAGAGTCTCTCTGTGAAAGCGCACTGTTGGCCCGCACTCCCATTGGAAATGGGTAAGGACATAATCAAATCAAGAAATAACATTATTAAAAATAAAAACATAACAGTAACAAAATATACTCATTGACTAATTTTGTTATGAAGTACAGTTGTATGTTTGCATAGAATTCATTTTGAATGCTATATTACATGCTTTCAAAATCTGAGGTAAACTATCCGTTATCGCTTGTGGCACAGTGACCTATTTTTAACTAAAAATAAATAATGTATACTCATAACCAGTGTAATTTCTTCATTCTGTCAGCCGCGACGTCGCAGAAATAGGAACCGTTTCTAAATTAGAAACTTCGCGTGTCGCCGTCGCGTCTGGTTAGGACAAAAACTCTGATTAACATGGAAAAGATACCTTTTATCGCGTGTCGCGGCGCGTCTAGTTAGGACACGGTGTGACGGTGGGAATCACAGCTCAGCATACAGAAATAATCTGCCATAATCTATGTATTGCGTATCAATCCTACAATGACAATTAACCTTTTCACATGAATCTTGTTTTCATCGACAGATATGGTGAAGTTAAAACTGTTAGAAAACAGCACAAGTTTGTCTGTAAATTTAACATTCAATAGGCGGATTCACACTGTTCAGCAAACCGGTCTGGTTAAAACTAAAACATTCTCATGCTTTCAGATTTGCAGATGTATGTGTGTGAGGAAATATCATATATTGTTTAACCATCTGGGGTCGGCGGTATTGCCGGTGATACCAGCTCACTTTTTTTTTTAATTACTCTGATTACTGCCGATTTTGTTCTTATACATCATTCGATCCTGTTAAGTGTCTGTTTTTGTTGAGTATACACAAAAAAATAGTGTTGTACTTTGTCAAAATTCCTTCTCGGTCAGTGAAGTTGATTCTGAAACGCATCCAAAAAATGAACTGTAACTAAGTAAATACTTGTCACAGAGACAAGAAAGATTTCTCTTTATGAAGCTGAAATTCTCTTTTAAATTAAGTAATTTATATAAAAATTTATTCTCAGTTTATGTAATCTGTATGAAAAGATAGAGATGTCAATCTTTTTCCTTTCACCTAATTATAGCGTATGACGTGCTAATGTGACCACGCCCACTGACAGCGCACACTATTCAAACGCTAATGTTGAGGCAAGCAATGAAAACGCCCACATTAGCAGAATAAAACATCCAGCTTAATAAAAATCTAATTTACCTCATCTTGCTGTGCTGTGAGGCACATTTCGAGGAGTACAAATTCAGCTGATGTAGTAAGTCATTTATTCTTAAGTGCTTTGTGCAGTATACAGACACTATTCAATAACGCAATTAGAACAAAGTCTGTTTAAATATGAAATGCGAGCTGTGCTGTTCATTCACTCTCGCTCCTACATTATTTTTCATGAACACATCAAAACTATATATAGCCTACTATATATAGCCTATAGCCTACTGAGATTTGTTTTAACCGCGATATAGGATAGTATCTGTAAAACCAAAAAGACTGTTTAAATATGAATCGGGTTACTGGGTGTGTGAATGACGAAATGCACAGTTACAGACGAAATAGATTATAAAGTTTTTACTATAAAAGACATCAAATAAGCTTTTGTTAGACAGTTTCTGCTAATATGTTAAATATATATATAGTATGTTTTGTCAAAAATAAATCCAATGCAATCCAATGCAAGCTATATCAAAATAATGAATCATTAACTTTTAATCTCTGAAATATGTATGATAAAATGTATTGGCCTACTTTAAAAAAAAATAATACTTTATAATGGAAAACATTTTTGTTTGTTTTCACAATTTAAAAAAATTCACAGTTTAATTTGAATGATTAAGCAGGATGATTTTCAGATCATTTTGAAGAAGAAAAAAACGCAAGGGCACAACACCCATTAGTCAAACGTCTTGTGGACACATTTAGTACGTGTTTTGTGGCCTTTTCAGTAACTTTCATTTTTAGTTTATTCAAAAACCATGCATAAAACAATACTCTCTCAAAAATACAAACAGTTTGCTCATATACAGGTCCTTCTCAAAAACAGGCATGAAAACCGGTCAGGGTAGAAAAGGTGAGAAGGATATTACCCATATAGGGGGATCCGGTGGAATGCTTCCCCGTAAGAAAATTTTAAATATTGCATATTTTAAAGCATCAATCTGATGCATTTTGAGATGCATTTTTTGCCAAACTGGGGAGAGCTGGAGAAACTTCAGCCATGAGTCAAAAATATTATTGCCTCCGTAGCGTTAGCTAATAATAATAGGCCTAATAATAAAAAAAAAAGACCGATACCTATCCGTTACCAACACAGTTTAAAAAAAAAAAAATCAAGTAGAATTTCTATAACTGTTTGTTGAACTGATAATCACTCTTTTGTGTGTTAAACACAATCTATACTTAATACAGACAACTTCCTTATAAAGAAAAAAAATGATCATAACCTATGACAAAATTATATTATAAACTAGATTAGTGGGTAACTAATTTAAAATTTCATAATTTTATAAAATTAGAACATTTAGTAGAAAAAAAATTAGTGGGGAACAAATAAGAGACAATAAGTGTAGTAATAAATCTGGTAAAACGTTACACATTGCTCTTTGTATTGTTGTAAAATACATTCATGAAAAACAAGATAAAAATCAAAAAGATCAATTATTTTATAGTCTTCTATAAAATTAACAATATATATATATATATATATATAACACAAATGTATAGCACAGCTGTTTAATGAGGCTGCAACATATGATAGATAGGACAGAACAGAACAAAAAAAATACTATTAATCTTTCATTTCGCAAAAGTATTATGATATGATTAAGACCCCAATAGAGCAATAGAGTGCTCCACACAGCGCTTATGCGCATCCCGAACACTGAATGATGCGCCTGAGGCAACATGAGCCACAACGCACAGCTCTGTTTAGATTAGTTACGCATTGAAAAGTTCAAAGCACAAAGGAAATACATATTGATGCACAGTGTATTATAGAGTTATCTATCTATTAGATAATTATACATTATCTATCTATGGAATAGTTTATTGAGCCTTTTCTTTTAACAGTTTTACATTTCAGTTACTGTGCGCGTGAAGAACAATAGTGCTCTCCAATGTTGTGATAGACACGCGGTAAAGGAACATGATTGAGGTAATACTGCAAGATAGTCAATTTATGTGAAACCAAAGAGCTTTATCTACAGATTAAGTATAATATTAACATTTAATCATCTTGGAGAGAGTTTCATCGTTGCCGAACGCGACGCGCTGTTTGAATGTTGAATGACTGACGGCGCGCTGTGCTGTTTGCTGAATGGAGAATGACTGACAGCTGCAGCGGAGGGAAAAGTTTACGTGATCTTGAATTGAATGACTTAAATATTAATTTCTATCTCACATTTTACTACAGTATGGCTTCATATTATACCCCCCCCCCCTCCCTCCAAACATTTTCTCATAGAATCTACACGATTCACGTAGGTCACCTATTTTGGTTTCAAAACGGCGAATTTCGCCAAAAGGCGAGTAGTTTTCATCTCTGCAAAAAATTAGCATATTGTGAGAGTTCATTATTTTCCATAATGTACTAATAAAAATTAAACTTTCATATATTTTAGATTTATTGCACACCAACTGAAATATGTCAGGTCTTTTATTGTTTCAATACTGATTATTTTGGCATACAGCTCATGAAAACCCAAAATTCCTATCTCAAAAAATTAGCATATTTCATCCGACCAATAAAATAAGTGTTTTTTTAAAGTCAACCTTCAAATAATTATGTTCAGTTATGCACTCAATACTTGGTCAGGAATCCTTTTGCAGAAATGACTGCTTCAATGCGGCGTGGCATGGGGGCAATCAGCCTGTGCCATTGCTGATGTGTTATGGAGGCCCAGGATGCTTCGATAGCAGCCTTAAGCTCATCCAGAGTGCTGGGTCTTGCATCTCTCAACTTTCTCTTCACAATATCCCACAGATTCTCTATGGGGTTCAGGTCAGGAGAGTTGGCAGGCCAATTGAGCACAGTAATACCATGGTCAGTAAACCATTTACCAGTGGTTTTGGCACTGTGAGCAGGTGCCAGGTCGTGCTGAAAAATGAAATCTTCATCTCCATAAAGCTTCTCAGCAGATGGAAGCATGAAGTGCTCCAAAATCTCCTGATAGCTAGCTGCATTGACCCTGCCCTTAATAAAACACAGTGGACCAACACCAGTAGCTGACATGTCACCCCAGACCATCACTGACTGTGGGTACTTGACACTGGACTTCAGGCATTTTGGCATTTCCTTCTCCCCAGTCTTCCTCCAGACTCTGGCACCTTGATTTACGAATGACATGCAACCACTGAGCAACAGTCCAGTGCTGCTTCTCTGTAGCCCAGGTCAGGCGCTTCTGCCGCTGTTCCTGGTTCAAAAGTGGCTTGACCTGGGGAATGCGGCACCTGTAGCCCATTTCCTGCACACGCCTGTGCACGGTGGCTCTGGATGTTTCTACTACAGACTCAGTCCACTGCTTCCGCAGGTCCCCCAAGGTCTGGAATCAGTCCTTCTCCACAATCTTCCTCAGGGTCCGGTCACCTCTTCTCATTGTGCAGCGTTTTTTGCCACACTTTTTCCTTCCCACTGAGGTGCCTTGACTCTGGGAACAGCCTATTTGTTCAGAAATTTCTTTCTGTGTCTTACCCTCTTGCTTGAGGGAGTCAATGATGGCTTTCTGGACAGCAGTCAGGTCAGCAGTCTTACCCATGTTTGCGGTTTTGAGTAATGAAACAGGCTGGGAGTTTTTAAAAGCCTCAGGAAATTTTTGCAGGTGTTTAGAGTTAATTTAATTTAATTTAGCCAGCAGCCATATCACCCTGTAGCCCAAGACTGGTTGCCCACTGAAGCTAAGCAGGGCTGAGCCTGGTTAGAACCTGGATGGGAGACCTTCTGAGAAAGCCAGGTTGCTGCTGGAAGAGGTGTTAGTGAGGCCAGCAGGGGGTGCTCACCCTGTGGTCTGTGTGGGTCCTAACGCCCCAGTATAGTAATGGGGATACTATACTGTCAAAGAGCACCGTCCTTCGGATGAGACGTTAAACCGAGGTCCTGACTCTCTGTGGTCATTAAAAATCCCAGGATGTCTTTCGAAAGAGTAGGGGTGTAACCCCGGCATCCTGGCCAAATTTGCCCAGTTTGCCCATCCTGGCCAAATTTGCCCAAATCTGTCCATCATGGCCTCCTAATCATCCCCATATATACCAATTGGCTTCATCACTGTCTCCTCTCCACCAGTAAGCTGGTGTGTGGTGAGCGTTCTGGCGCACTATGGCAGCCGTCGCATCATCCAGGTGGATGCTGCACACTGGTGGTGGTTGAGGAGATTCCCCCCTCTATGTGAAGCGCTTTGAGTGTCCAGAAAGGCGCTATATAAATGTGATGAATTATTATTATTATATTATATTATATTAATTAGTTGATTCAGATGATTAGGGTAATAGCTCGTTTAGAGAACCTTTTCATGATATGCTTGGATGGCTGACACCGCTGTCGGTGTATGAATGGGTGAATGTGAGGAAAATGTAAAGCGCTTTGGTGGCCATTAGCTCTATGAAGTCGCTGTATAAATGCAGTCCATTTACCATATATGCTAATTTTTTGAGACAGGAATTTTGGGTTTTCATGAGCTGTATGCCAAAATCATCAGTAAAAAAATAAAAGACCTGACATATTTCAGTTGGGTTGCAATGAATCTAAAATATATGAAAGTTTAATTTTTATCATTACATTATGGAAAATAATTAACTTTATCACAATATGCTAATTTTTTGAGAAGGACCTGTATTATGGTAGCCCTGTTTGTGCTAAATAGTGTAATTTCACCTGTGCCGTTAATATGTTTATAAGCAACTGAAAAAAGCACAAATGTCAGGGCATTTCAAATCATCAAGGATCCCAAAAACACCTTAGACCCCAGAGAGTTTAAAATACTAGGCACATTACACCAGGGAAGGAAATTAGCATCAGCCAAATGCAGGTGATTTTGTGTTGTGGCTGGTAAACTCGCTTCACCTACCAGCCACCGTGCCGGGTAAATAAAAGTAGCATGCTGTTTCACCCGGACACTTTTAGAGGAGGCACACCTTCAGACTTTACCCTATGGAATAAGCGATTTATTGTAGATCTTGTAGTATTAAAACATTAAACGTTAAAACATTGTCGGTTAAAAAAAAAGAAAGTGGCTGGTAAAAACATTGAGTGTGGACAAAAATTTCCATTGGTTAAATTTCCATCCCTGCGTTACACCCAGGGACGTTCTCGTGCCGTTAACGGCCACATGATCTGGGGGCTCATGCTGACTGACTGCTCTTGATGACTGAGGGATTTTAAAATTCATTACTGTTGCCCATGAATCTGCACGAGCAGTGCTGGCATATTCACCTCTCCTCCTCTCCCTCCAGCAACTTCCTGTAAGCGTTGATCTCCATGTCCAGCGCCAGCTTGACGTCCAGGAGCTGCTCATAGTCGTCCAGTTGCTGCTGCATCTTGGCCCTGATCTCAGCGATCTCGCGCTCCTTCTCAGCCAGTAACCGGCGGCTCACATATTTCTCTTGGCTCAGAGCCGCTTCCAGCTCACTGATGTGATCCTGCCACGCACGTGCCTGTTAAAGACACACAGCAAGGTAATCAAAACTAACGAACATCAAATAGGAACATTTTGATTAGGATTACTTAATGGGTTTTTCATTTTTGGTGAACTCTTCCTTTATCATTTACTCATTTACTGTGGAAACCAGACAGAACTGCCAGTGGAAACCAAGCATGCCACACCTGGAAAAGTGAAGCCAAAACGTCTCGATCGCCCCCAGGTGTCCGGTCCTAGTATAGGTCATAAACCCCGAAGTTAAATTACACTTCAAAAATCCAATCCAAAAATGGTTTGTCATTTACTATAGTTTTTATCACGCTGATGTAATTTCAAGTGTTAGCTTTAAATTTAAAATCAAAATTTCTATAATTAATTTTGAAAAAGTGCAGGAGCGTGTTCTTGCGATTGATTCTGCGAGAGTGAGGGCGGGGCCTTGATTTCATGGCTTCGCTTCCTGCTCACTACTGCGTATGTCTGGTCCCGAAATCGCGTCCGCACAGACTCAAGTTCCAAGATGTCAGCGCCATATCAGGATACTGGCGGCCTTAACTTCTGACCCAGGGTATATGCAGGAATCATAGAGATGAATTTACTACCTTTTTTACTACCTCCACAATATTTTTTACTACCAACACGACATGTATTCTATGTAACGTTACGATGTTCTCAATATAATTCATAATCCCATGTTTATAATGAACAACGCGCTATGGTTATTGTGTTATTAAAACTGTGTACGCAGAGGGGCGGGGTGACCAAAGCTCATTATCATTTAAAGGCATGTGCACTGAAACGGCATGCTATACTAATGAGAATTTTTTTAATAAAAGTATATTACAAAGTTTTCATTTAGACCCTAAAGATTCATAATTAACTTGTACAAAAATGGCATTATATGACACTTTTAACCCTAGACCTTTAGTTATCCTAACCATTACGTTAGCCCTTAGCCCTAATAAGGTGAATAATAACCTTGGCACTTAAAAACAAATAACACTTAACAGGCATAAACATGAATAAAGATTAATGATAGTGTGTCACATAACACACACTTACTCACAAACACACATTCTCACACACGCAGACTTAAGCAGTGAAATTACTATCCCAAAACAGCAATTTATTTCATCGCATCTCTAAATGTGCTTCAAATATGGCACTGGTTTGCTCCCCCATTTTCAATTAGGGATGCACGACACCACTTTTTGCAGAACGAGACAGAGACCAATACTTTCATTTTTGGTACTCGCCAATATTGATACCGTAACCGATCCCTGAATTTTCACTGCATTTGTAATTTTAAAATGTATTAGTAGATAAACCAAAAGTTATGTCATATTAGTTGGCTTAATTTGTACATCAAATATATATTTCCTTCAGATATTTTCATGCTTAATTAATGCTGCTAAAAAGCATGCTTCTGTTTGTCACTGTTCATTCTATTGCTATATTTAATATTGCATATTTTACCTTTCATTTAGCACAGCACATGTTTAGAGCCGCTCCAGAAGAGTCAGTGCTGAGGATTGGGTCAGTGGTAATGTTTAGACACCAGTGAAATACCAATTATTTAATCCAATTTTGATACTACAACAAAAACTACCAGCCCAATTAATATGAATTTAAAACATTATTAAAAGTAAGCAGTCAGTAACAAAATAAGAACAAATAATTGAATTACAAAGCGGACAAATAAATACAATAGAACAAATAAAAGCTACAAATGAAATAGTGTGTTTAGAGTGTTTTTCGGGTAGATTGGTACATTCATTTGAATAAAGTAATCAAATGAGAAAAAATTGCATATTCATTACTGTATAAATTAAATATAGATGGATATTTTTGTAAATTTGAAAAAGGGTAGACTATTTAGTCAAGAGCAGTGAGTAATTTATTTGTCCTTGACAATTTGTATTTGATTAACATGAAAACACAGTAGCAGGTTTATTAAAGTGCTGCCCCTTTAAAGAGATACTCCACTTTTTTTGGAAATAGGTTCATTTTACAACTCCCCCAGAGTTAAAGAGTTGAGTTTTACCGTTTTCGAATCCATTCAGCAGATTTTCTGATACTTATAAGAATATCAGTAACCAGACAATTTCTGGTCTCATTGACTACCATAGAAGGAAAAAAATATACTATGGTAGTCAATGAGACCAGAAACTGTGTGGTTACTGATTTTCTTCTAAATATCAGAAAATCGGCTGAATGGATTCAAAAACGGTTAAACTCAACTTTTTAACTCTGGGGGAGTTGTAAAATGAGTCTATTACCAAAAAAGTGGAGTATCCCTTCTAAAACCGAACGCACGGGCCCCATTTGAACATGGCTAACTTACGTTCACTTGAGATATAACTGACTTTTTTTTACTAGGATACTCGCCAAGACGGCCGCTTATACATCATTTTGTGTGAATTTGTCCGTACAAGCGCAAGACAATTTTCAGCAACGTTATTCGAGGCGCTGGTTTGCGGGGCTGCGCGCTTTGGATGTTTGCATTCATTGAACTTCTGACCTGCACACGTCCAGTAATAATGTAGGGAACCACTTGTTATACATAAATCAGGTAACAGGTCATGTTTTACTTTACTTGCATATAATACGACTTAGTTTTCATCCAAATAACATGTGCTGAGTGAACGATCAGGAGCATTCAACAGAAGTGCGCGTGCGATCTCTCGCTCTCATCAGTTAACTTTAATAATAAGCTAGATGATAAGTTTTAATTTTCTTTGCCATTGACATCCGACTGAACTACAAACATTCCACTGATGTCTGTTTGAAGGGATGTGCTCGACCAGCTCGCGCGTCTGTGCTGCTGCTGCGTGCTTAATCTACTGCACGTTTCCAGTGCTCGCGCACCACAGCTAAGTTATGTGTTACTATATTGCGTTTAATATTCCACTAATAAGACACATTTACTTCATAGACAGCCTTATTTTTGGGGAAAAAATGGAAACTCATATATTGAGGCGGTGATGAAAAATTTACTACCAAGTCAAATTGCGTTTGTTACCTTTTACTACGTTTCAAGGGCCGTAATTTTGGTAGATTCTTTTTACTACCGCACGGAAACCCTGTGACCAATGGAAGAGAGCAAAGGGACATCATCCATCTTTTTTACAGTCTATGGTGGAAACCAAACAGTTTCGGTTCACTTTGATTTCTGTTGTATTTTTTGACCCTACAACGGAAGTCAATGGGAATTTAAAACCAACATTCTTTTCTATACATGTTTGTCCATAGAAAAGTGTTATTCACTACTGTAAAGTAACACTGGCAGACAATCAAATTCGTAGTTTTATTATTTTCATTATCAATTAGTTGTTGCAGCTCTGACTATAATACACCCAAAAAAGAGGAATTTAAATCATGCTTAGTTTCACTTCAACAGCACAGCATGTGCAAACTCTGTAACAGCGTGTTAAGGATAGCTAGAGTAACAGTGCGGATCTCTCAATAATCAGAAACGTCACTTCTTGAAGACTGACAGGATTAAACAAAATCGAGTTTAGAGTGAACAAGCACTATAAAAAGAGAACAAGGTATAATGAGCAACAACAATTAGAAGGACCTTGAGTGAGTTCAATTGTGTGGGAAAGTGCAGAGGATACATGGATATATATATATATATAGACCATTTCACAAGATGTAAACAACACTGGTCCAAAAGCACTTCCTGTTTCAGTTTTTTAACACTACAAAAAAGCTGGGATAAAATACAACCAACAGAACATTTAAAACTGAATCAAAACATTAAACAAACATCTTTAAGATGTTTTCTTTACATGTGAAATAAAGAAAACAGTTACAAACTGAAACAGGAAGTGCTTCTGGACCAGTCTTGTTTACATCTTGTGAAATGGTCATATAAATATATATATATATATATATATATATACACACACACACACATATACATATCTATCTATCTATCTATCTATCTATCTATCTATCTATCTATCTATCTATCTATCTATCTATCTATCTATCTATCTATCTATCTATCTATCTATCTATATATATATATATATATATATATGTGTGTGTGTGTGGTGGGGTCAGACGCATACCTCTTTCTGCAGGTTAGTGAGCTGAGCAGCCAGACTCTCGACTCTCAGCGTGGACTCGCGCAGCTCCTCACGGGCCATACTGGCTGAAGAGCTATTCATCTCGGATGACAAACGCACGTTCTCCAGCTGAAACGCACACACAAGTCAGAGAAATGCAAAGAGGAACTAAACAAGCTTTCAGAGGAAGTCAGAAACTTGACGAAACACTTCTTCACACATGTGCAGAGATGTCACAAGACATCCGCTTGGACATGCTATAGACCATTTCAAAAGATGTGAACAACACTGGTCCAGAAGCACTTCCTGTTTCAGTTTGTAACTGTTTTCTTTATTTCACATGTAAAGAAAACATCTTAAAGATGTTTGTTTAACTTTTTGATTCAGTTTTAAATGTTCTGTTGGTTTTATTTTATCCCAGCTTTTATGTAGTGTTAAAAAACTGAAACAGGAAGTGCTTCTGGACCAGTGTTGTTTACATCTTGTGAAACGGTCTATTGAAACGCCTGCGATCACCTTGGCCATGTATGTCTGCTCCATCTCCTCCTTGTAGAGTTTGATCTGGTCATCGTGTTGCTGTCTCATGTCTGCAAATGCCTGAGCCAGTTTTAAGTCGAACTCCATCTGCCGGCCCGAGTCCACCTCCACCAGACGGGTCTCGTGTCTGTGGCGTGTGTCCTTGATCTCCTGTCAACAATCACAGAACTATTAGCTGCAGTTCAAAGCACTTCACTGGGAAATATTCTGTTCAGTTAATAGATGAAGATAACTGATTATGCTCTCTTCCCTGTGACATTTTCAAAAAAATGAAACCACATGACTGCAAACATTTCTCATGTAAAAAGTCTATTAGCAGCTAAAATTTCATTAGCTAAAATGACATATAACCGGGTCTTAAAGTGACTCATTCCATACTCTGTACACTACTTTTCTTTTTGAAAAATACTTCTCAGTAAGCATTCAATTGATCAATAGTGACAGTCAATATATGTTACAATAGACTTTCATTTCAAATAAATGCTGTTCTTCTGAACTTTCTATTCAAGAACAAACAACAGGTTTCAATTGTGATAAGAAAATATTCCTTCACCAAATCAGTATATTAAGGCCTGTTCAAAACAAGACGAATACCGTAAAACTTCAAATAGCCAAATAGGCGCCTGTCTCTTTTACACGCCTGGTGAAGCTGCAGGTTTGGGTAAATAAAGGCCGGCCTAAAATAGAGGCCGGGTCTGTTTTTTAGTTTCGGGTTGCATTTAATCTAAGACCCGTCAGATCGTCCGCTATTTGGTGGCTGCCAAAGCAAATTTTTGTCCCATCAAAGCCTTTTATCGGTGAGTAATGTAGAATAGAATAAATGCTGCGCTTGACAAGGCGCATAACGAGCAGAGAGAGAGAGAGAAAGTGCCCCGGCCACACGCGCACTCTCACATTTTCAAACACCACAAGCGCTGTCTTGCTTGACACATTAGTAAATGGTCGGAAGAAATCAGCCAAATGCTCCACATGAAGGCATGTTCATGTGGAGTATTTGGCATTTTTAGAGATTAGAGACTCTGGGCCTACACTCAATGAACAACATAACACTAAATTATAAACGCCTGTCTCAAATACAATACTGTTCATAAACTAGATTTTTGCCTAGTCACCTTTGGCTTGCTTAGTTGGGGACAACAGTATTGTTCTGCCTGCATTGACACCATTTTACAAGAACTGAGCTGGATGATGACATCACTGTTTTCTCTAAAGCAGCTATAATATATAAATACATATACACACCCACACACACACATATATATATATATATATATATATATATATATATATATATATATATATTAGGGGTTGAACGACTTCAGATTTTTTGAAGTCGACTGTTATGACATCAAAGTCGAGTCGACGTCGACTAGTCGCTGACGTCACTCATAAAAACACAAGAGATGAGACAGATTTGCAACATGCCACAATTTGCAATTAATTAACAGAAAATTATACAGACGCTGACAGCTCATAATGGGGCCGTTTACACCTGGACACTTCATGTTTTTACTGATCTGATTTATCAAAACGATTCCATTTACACCTGGTCACATGTTTTCGCATCCGATCTTCAAACAACTTGCTATATGCAGACATAACGGAGTTCACGTCACCGAAAGCAACAGTAATGAGCTGCATTTTATTGATCATCAGCTAATTTTACAATCAAAGATCGCACTGAGAGACTGGTAAGATCATTTAGTTTCTTTACTTTTAACAAAGATGATTGTGTGTGTTAAGCGTCTGTGACTTACTTTCACTTTGATTTACGATAGTTTGCATGTTGGCTTTATGAATGCTCAACTGCGATGCGTGTTATAGCTTCGTCATATAATGAATATAATAATAGCACAGGCTGCTCTCACACGTTTTATTTCAGCATTTTCAGCCTCCTCATGAAGTGGTTTGAGCGATCGGATTTAAATATCCGTCTCCAATGCGTTTCGGAGGGTATTTAGCTTACACCTGGTGTTTTCACGATCGGATAGCAATCAGATCACAGAAACACGTGAAGTGGCCAGATGTAGCTAAACAGCCCGCTGTTTACATCATCATTTGAAAAGGAAAAAAAAAAAACTATAAATTCACATCTGCACGTTAGTGATGGATCCAAGTAATATTCCAATTGGTTGCGGGTGAATTAGAGATGCATTAATATGTTTAAATAAATATATGAAAAAAATAGGCTAATATTTGAATGATTTTAAAAGAGACTGCTCTCATTTCCCGGTAAAACAGTGAACGTGCGTCATGCTTTTACTTTCGTTTTCAACAATATAGTGGTGCTACGTTAGTTAAGTATTTCCATACGCTTTATGTGCTGCTGCTTTCTTGCTGCAATGATCCTCTGGGCTCTTTAATGTCTTTAATGCAGCCATACTATTAAAATTAGCGCAATCATATAGTGTCACATGATCAACGCGACTAGTCGACGTCAAGCTTAAAGCGTCACGGCATTGCATTAAGGTCGACTAGTCGACTAGTCGGTTCAACCCCTAATATATATATATATTAGGGCTGTGCAAAAGTTAATTGCGATTAATCGCATCCAAAATAAAAGTCTGTGTTTACATAATATATTTGTGTGTGCTGTATATAATTATTTTGTATATATAAATACCTATGCATGCATGTATATATTTAAGAATTATTTGCGGTTAAATTCTGTATATATTTATAAATACATAATCTATATTATATAAATATTTTATATATGAATAACATATTTTCTTAAATATATACATGCATGTGTGTGTATTTATATATACAAAATAATCATATACAGCACACACAAATATATTATGTAAACAGAGACTTTTATTTTGGATGCGATTAATCGTAATTAACTTTTGCACAGCCCTAATATATATATATATATATATATATATGAACTAAATGAATAACTTTACAACAAAAATTAACCATCAATGAACTTAAGCTGGACTGTGTGCTATTTTCTTCTATAAACAAACTTTGTTGCATGGTGCTTTATGTTTTTGTGCCTAAACGTTTGTAAAGTTTGTGTGAGGCTTAACAATCACACAATACTATACGCACAATGTCAGATTCGGATCGATCCTCTTTGACCAATACCCAACGAAGAATGGCGGTCTCGGAGGATCGGATCGGCGCATTAGTATTTGTTGCTGCTTTATTAAAGCCATCTACTGCCAGAGAGTGAACCTGCAATGTCATTCAACTCATCTGAATTATTTAATGCTTGTTTGTTCAGACCAATTTGCATGCCAAACATATTCAGTGTCTTTTGGCAAAATATTTTGTTGCAGCCGATTTCCATGAACAAAATTCAGCGCTATCTGAATACTCTCATCTACTAGTCTCTCTAGTCACTCAATGCTCTCAAGGCGGGCTTTGGTAAATCCTCTCCCCAAGGTGACGCATTGTAGGGGAAAGGAGAAACGCTGCAAACCACTGTAAGATAGTACCCACTAGTGTTGTCAAAAAATTCGGTACTTCGGTACCAAGTCGGTACTAAAAAAAAAAGAATGTTACGGTACCAGCTTTTCTAGGTACCGAGTACCAGGTTAATCCAGTTCTAGACGCGCTGTCTGAAAGGTGCACAGTTGCGTCCTCTTCATAACGCTGATATGGCTCTCTCTGAATCCACTTGTTGACACGAAAGGAGGAAAGAGCCACATATGGAAATATTTTGGATTAGGCTAATGTCACGTTGCCATAAGAGGGCGATTACATGCGAATTCGCAATTTCAAATATAGGCGCGAGGCAAGCGCGCTCATAATAAAAACTCGTTGCATAGCAACGACAGACGCCGCGTGAGAGCAAGCGCTTTGGAAAGAATAAGGACGCGCAAAAATATAATAAAAAAACACGCGCGACATGTGAACGGCCTCTAAAGTGCTTTCGGGGTAGTTTTACGAGTACATGAGCACAGTAGTATCCACCCGATACCAGAGTACTACTGGTATTAGTATCGACGCATCCCTATTATGTCATTTAATGTCAGTGCCAGTTCTAGGCGTATTCTTGCCTTTATAACTCAGCAGGTTTAAAAAGCCTTTTCAAAATTAAATATGAATGCAGTTTTAGATTAAATAAAAGTACAGTCAAATCAAATAAAACATGTTTTTTCTCCTGTAGCCTATAGTTTGGTGATGCTACAATAAGATACCATTTATCAACATTAGCTACTTCACGTCAACACATTGAGTGAACAATATATTTTTACAACATTATTTAATGTTTGTAAATGTTATTTAATAGAAACACTTGATTGTTCATGTTTGTTCACTTCATTCATTGTGCATTAAATAAATGTTAACGGATTAGAACTTTACAAACAACTTTAAAAATGTGTTCGTGTATACTATTGTTTAGTTTAGGTCATTTTATCTAATTTTTTTCTAAAGTGTTTATAATACAAATGTACAGTTTCCATACTTGTAACCGTGATAAACACTTAAATATATGTAAATTTAAACTAAGGTTTGGTACCGAAATTGGTACCGAGAACCGTGAATTTTTACTGGTATTGGTACCAAATGCTGAAATTTTGGTACCGTGACAACACTATTACCCACTTTCGTAATCTATTCCATTTTGTGACTGCTGTGACGGCGTGTCTGCTGTGGGATTCAATGTAACCGCCCACTGCTGTGATTGGCTGACATGCTTGCATATGAAATAGTTACATATTACATGTGAAACTCTCTTGAATATGTTTTACTACAGCTATTATACGCTTTTACTATTACAGATATCAAGATTACTGATTCGTGAGATGTTTTTCAAGTATTTAGATTCTCATCACATAAAATATTGCTGTGATGAGCATTGAGCAGCAGCAGATGACAGTCTGTCGATCGCGAGAATGAAGATCTTATCATTGTAATGCAGTTTCTGCACTCTCTGCTTTCACCAATGCAGACCCGATGATGTACAAACAGTAAGAGCTTCGTTGTGCAGTGTAACGCAGTTTCTGTTCTCTCTAAAGCCCGTAACTCGTCCGCTCTCGTCGAGGTAAAAAGCTGCACTTGAACTCACCGAGAGAACAGCAGCCGACTGTCAGCTAGAATGTGCGTTCTGCACCTGAGTTTAATAAGCCAACTGTCTATTTCTGCAGATATATTAGTCTACGTATATTCGTCATTCAAAAAGGAAAACCGACGCTGCCGGCTGCAGATACACATAACGTAAACAAAGCAGCGCGTGCTTACAGCTTAGAATATCAATCCTAAACACTTTCTTTAAATAAGATTATTTTCATCCTACTCAAAGAAACGTTGTGAAGTTGATAATAGTCTGGCTCGACTTGATGCATAAACCGTATCGAACGATTTTGAGAGAAAGATTAACTTACCTGTCTCCTAGCCATTCAAAACTTTGGGAGTTGAGTCGCCGCATTTCCAGAGAAAAAAAAATTAACCCACTGTTTCTTCAGAGGCGTAGATGAAGGAACTAAAAAATACTTTTGTGTTCATTTGTACATCCGAACACTGAGCAACTGCCATGCTTTGCTCGTTTGCAAGCCATGATATTTCGAGGAAAAACTCAAATCTCAAAGCGATTTCTCTAGGAAAAAAAAAACAAACAAAAAAAACGCACCTGCGCGTGTTCGTACTTCCTGTTCCTAGCTCGTTTTCTCATGTTCGGTCTCTGGGCGGGCCAAAGCAGAGAACGGGGAGTAACTTTTCCCCTATATGACGTTATATAGGGGGAGATTCTAGATCAGCGCGTCTTAGATGCAGACGGATGCAGAGAAGAGAAAAATAGCCAAAGCTCTGTTTACACCATACCTGTCAAGTATCCCGTTTTGGCCGGGAAAGTCCCGTATTTACCCTTCTTTCCCGCCGTCCTCCCGTATTAGTATTTTCCCGTAAATCTCCCGTATTTTAACCTGCGTTATTAAAATATAATGATACCCCCGAGCGGATTAAAAAAAAAAACATTCCCAATCCAGAGCCCAATCTGAGCTCTGTCACTTGCCTCGCGATAACAAGTACTGTAGGTGAGGTGACCGTTGTCGCGAGGTCAGATGATGAGTGACAACTCTATGGTGACAACACGGAAACGGGAAACAAAGAGGACACACGTTTTGTAACTGTGACTTTTGCATCTCACAAGGGGGAAGGAATGATGTGTTAGCACGAGAAATGGTGTTTAGCATGGTACGAAAGATTGTTGCCGAGAATAGTATGACGCTAGACAACACAGAGATAGACAACAGAACTGCTCTAATCTCATGTAAAAATTAACCACTGTGGCCCAGCCTACAAATACACTCCTTCCAAAACAGTCTTAAAGAATGCAAAGTCTGCAACATATTTGTACAATAACTCACTAAGAGTGAGTTACTGAGTTATTGCTTTTCTTTTACTCACTAAGTAAAAGAAAAGCAATATGAAATGAAAAGATTGTGTGGAATGAAAATAAAATGTAAATGTAAAGACAAGCAATGTTAAATGAAAAGTGTGTGTGTGTGTGTATTCATTTAAGCTATAACACCTGTCTTAAAATGTAAGGGATACTGGGTTGGTGGGAGTGGGACTGTTCGCGGTGGGCGCCGGAAAATTTCCCTTATTTTCAAATCCAAAACTTGACAGGTATGGTTTACACAAATTGAAAATTCTAGACACGAGGGGACCAAATACAGTCTAGGGGGAACTCATATTAATGTTAAAAAACCTCAGAAAATGAAAATTTCATGTCAGGGGACCTTTAAGGTTGTTTTTCCTTCACTGATACGAGTGCCCAGGTCTTGGGCTTGTGTCTTTCACTAATGTAGCTCTTAATGTAGGACTTCTGTGTGTTGTATTTATTGAGTTCATCACAGAGTGCTCCATCTTCCAAATCAGAAATGCACATGCTCACTGAGGACAAATTAGACGGTTTGTGAATCTCTCAGGCGTTGGTCATCTTCAGACCTATAACACTGTAGAGAACCTGGACCCTGTCAGGTGGGACTCCTCAAACTCACAGTTGAAAAGCTTTTAACCTTTGACTTCCACGTTGGCAGTAAAATGTATGATTCTATGTGCACCAGCTTTTTGGGACAGTGAGGACCAAAACTGACATCACTGTCACAACAACCTGGTGTTTCTTACAGAAAACATTAACATTGATAAAGTTCACGACCTCCCAAAGGAATGGTCAGTGAAGTGTTGGCTCACTCTGAATTCTAACCAAGTAGGAGAAATGAATCCTGTAATCATATATATTCTATTATAGATCCACTTGAGAATTGTATGAACAATGTATCTAATTTCCCCATCTCATGATTTGCCTTTTGTGTGGTTTGGTCTATGTTTCTCAAAACCTCTAATGGGATAATGTTTCAAACTTTGCAAACTGTGGTTAACCAAATCAATGTGTGGCAAGTTTGGTCTCTCTAAACCCAATCTTCATTCCCCATTTGTTAATTTACATTACATTTTGTTAAACTTTGCGACACATTAGGACTATAAGAATTGTGAGGATTCTTTTCTTAAACATGAACAAAGTTAGAAGACTATAAATCCCCTAATCACATTTACCATTTACAATAACCACATTTACAATCCCCTTACAAACATTTACCATGAATGTAATAATTTACCATGGTTTGGGCAGAAATGTGGAATATTTATATTGAATACTATGTTACAGTTATAGTCATTTATATTGCATTAGATTTATTAGGGGGGTAGAGGAATATTTAATTCATTGTGTGTATAGTTTTTACCTGTTTAGGCATTTTTTATACAGTGGTAGTAAGCCATGCATGGTTTTACATATGGTTACAAAGTCTCACTGTCAGGATATTTTAATTTAAGCCTATAATAATTATTAATAAAATAATTCTTACCAATGGCTGTGATATTGTATAATTCATATATTTGTACATAGCTGTAAATAAGTTATTTATTTTGGTCTGCATACTGTTGGGTACCACATTTCCAAGTAAATGCAATACTTTTTTTATGTTAACTTTAGCTTACTTATTGATACTGTTATGTTTCAATAAATAAGCTAAACCCACTGGCCCACCTCAACTTTTCGATTTAATAATCTGTCCCTGGAATGAAACGAATTGAATAGCCCTGGTCTATACAATTAATGAATCAATTTGTGGTTGATTGTCAAGGTACACATGAATGCAGATGCAGGTAACATCTCTTCTCGGGAGATTTAATAAAATGTACAGTGATCTGGTCCAAACCTGTATGAATAATTATTAATTATCAATTATTAATTATTGTATACAAATTCCCCATATCGATCGGTTCAGACTCTATAACACTGACCTCCTCAAACATGTTCTTCCTGAAGTGCAGCTCCTCCATGAGGCTCTGGCAGCGGTTCTCCAAATCCACGCGCAGCAGAGTTTCATCTGACAGCTGCTTCTTAGCCGACCCCAGCCCACCTTCCAGCTGAACACACACAGACACAAAATCACTGACTGGCTCACACACACACACACACACACACACACACACACTACACTGGCATTGGAAACATGCATGCTGGAAACATCATGAAACATTAGACATTCTGAAGTGCAGACAACTCACATGTGTTTACATGCGCTGAAGTTGTTCTGAAAACATGTATAATGCATATGCTCAGTGGCAATGCTCAGATTCAATGTAGAGCCCAATCGATATATTGGCGGGCCGATATTAGGCATTTTCCTAATTATTGGAATCGGCATTTATAATGGCCGATAAATGAATATTTTTTTTAAAATGTGGGTGCGGTGATTCATGTTAGGGTGGCGATGCCAATAAAAGCACTCTCGATCTTTAGTGAACACTCCAGAGAGAAATGCACATTTCATACGGATTACAGCAGAGAGCCGTCTGTCTTTTGTTTTGAATAGTTCCGTTTAAAACTAGACATTTCAATATAGATATTTCTTAGGTCTATGCGCTGAATTTCGGTTCATTTATGAAACGATTTGCAGTTCACAAGCTGGCGCCTCCGTGTCTAGATTATCTATAGTCTGCTATAATTTACAATCCAGGCAAATGGTTGATGAAACATTGATTAAAATCATCATCGACACGACAGCCATCGGCACTGATCCTCAACATCTCGTCTCCAAACTGGCATGATTACTTCAACTTACAGACCGATGGAAATGGACAAATTCTCTGTTTCGATCCAATTTGTTTTGTAATCACTGTTCTTTCGTTGGCCAGAGGAGAACTGGCCCCCGACTGAGCCAGGGTTCTCCCAAGGTTTTTTACTCCATTCAATCACCTGATGGAGTTTTGGTTCCTTGCCACTGTTGCCTTGCTTTTGGCTTGCTTAGTTGGGGACATTTAATATTAAACAATATTATTAATCTGTTTTGTATTATTTTCATGTTATCACTGTGAAGCTGCTTTGATACAATCTGTATAAAGGAGGAGCGACGACGGCAGATCAAGAGAGAAACAGGCCTGATTTTATGTTGTGTTTTGTTTCTGTTGTGTGGTAGAGGTCTTCACAGTGCACCCGAGACCTGTCGGCCTGGGACCCGTACGGGTTCGGGTCTATATTTTAAATGATCAGCCGGGTCCGGGTAGGGTCCGAATTTATTACTTCGGGTCCCGGGTCTGTTTAACATTGTGTGTAATACCAAGGCATTCTCATCCTTTAGCGTCATATAGGACGCTATATGACAAAACGGCAAAATACTACGCACATGGCACCCGTTATCGTTAATATAACACGCGCTGAGAACGGGCTGGTAATACCCGTGCGATCGGAGTGCAATCTCAAGCGCGTATCATGTTTCTATGGCAACCAGAGCAGGGGGGTATTGCACAAAAGCAAGATAAGGGATTAAGCTGGGATTGTCCAGTTATCCTGGCTGAATTTAGCCCTGACTCGGTTGCACGAATGGAGGCTAAATTAATCTACATTAAGTTACTATGGAGATTTACACTTTGCAGCTAGCCTGCTCTAGAGCAGGCTCTAGAGCTCTAGAGCAGGCTAACAACCAGGCTAAGATTAATCCTAGTGATTTATCGACTAGTTCCTCCCTAAATCCTACTAGATATTAATGTTTTAGTTACTTTATGCTCCTGCATTAAAATACTAGATATACTGTCATTCATCTAAGAATGCGTACTGATATTTTAGTTATTATTAAAAACTGCTGTTCATTTCACTGTCAGAGGTTTGATGAATATATTATTTGAGATTCAAAGCGTTTATTGGCATACACCTGCAGTGAGGAAAGCAGATTTTCCTGAGCAATTATAACTTTGCTGTTCACAATAAATGCCAACACAATGCAAAAGAACTATACTATACAATATGAGAAATAGAAAGACTATGTATATCTATGCAAATATAGAGTAGAAATGTATAGTTGAATGATAAAAAAAATTATAGGCTATTTTATTGCAGTTGATGAGATAATAAGAAATGGCTCATTAAGTCGTAAATGTGGTTTCATGTAACAACAAGGTCAATATATAGTATATATAGACTAAAGATTTGTTTTTCCTATTCACAATGGCTTGCCCTTTGTTGGATGATGTAGTTGATGAGGAAGTTTTAATACTCAGACGAGCATTCAGCCATGAAAGAGTCATCCCAGATAGGGCAGACCCATTGGAATCACTGGCTTCCCTTTATAGGCCTGTGGTGCTGTGCTGTGGTGAAGTCTTGGGTTGGAGGGCCACCCCCGTACCAGATATATGACTTTTTTTTATTGCTAAAATCAGCACAGACGATTAAATGTCAGCAAACATGTCACCATGTTCTCTGCAGACAAGTCACTTACCAGCCTGCAAAATATTCTTGTATTTAATCTAGACCAGCCTTTCTCAAACTTTTTTCAGTCAGGGCACCTTTCAAAAGTGCATAAAATCTCAAGGCACCCCAGTGTAAAATATAATTTAAAAACACTGCATAACCCAAATGTAAATGTCTTGTTTAGTTAGACTGAACAGAGCATAATATGAACTGTAAATAACAATAATAATAAAAACTGTATAGTACCTTTAAAAACAAAGGTTAGCAAGGTAATTCACAAAATAATTAATCAGAGACACAAATGCCATAAAACCGTAAGAGGTGGACCGCCCAATAACAAATCCAGACCAGGAGAACTCAAATGAAGTGCAGGATGCAGTTAAAATAAAATAAAAAGGGGAAGACATTAATATATATATACAGTGTTTCCTCTACATTCATTCTCCCGTGGCGGGCCGCCACACTTAAAATCCTCCCGCCACGGTTGCAGCTTCTCAGTGACGTCCGATATTCTGCATAGTATTATGTTATTTTGTTAAGCCCCGCACTAAAGGCATAAAAAAACTTTGTAAAGCACAATCAAGTTTTCACCCTATATTCCAAGACTTCTAAAGTCATTGTATAATGTGTAATTTTAGTCGCTAAGTTAAAGTTAACGGAAAGTCATCTCGCCTCAGTCATTCTTCATTCAGAATTCAGCGCGTCGCGTTCGTTTGCGACACGACGACACTCTCTTCAAGGTCAATATTCCCATTATTATACTTTATTTGTAGATAAAGCATAAAGTAGATGGTTTTCATAAAATGACTTTATCTTGCTGGAGTGGAGTTTATTGCCCTTTCACATTCCCTTCTCCCGGGTGTATGCAGTGGCGTAACTTTGTTTTAAAAAGTGGGTGGGACATGTGTATAAATAAATGAATCACGTGACACGTGAATAAAAACATAAATCCGACTTTAAAACTTGTCCAGTGGAATAGCCTATACAGAAAGTCCTGTAAAATTAAACGAATAAATTGACCTAATAATATGAATAAAAATTATAAAAACAAAAATATCCATAAAAGTTTTAAAAGTAAATTAACTATTAAGCCATAATTTTGATAACTGATTTTTTGCAGAACACACGATTAAAATTTAAATTGGCTTATATCCATTGTACACACAAACTGCTGTACAATTAAACGAATGAATGTGCATAATAATATAAATAAAGATAAAAAAATAAGTGTATAAACAAAAATGTACAAAAAAATTATAATAAAGGCCTACATAAACATTTTAAAAGTAAATTAAAAAAATTAAAAAATTAACTATTAGGCCAACATTTTGATAACTAAACGTTTGCACAGCGCTCACAAATAAAATAAAATTATGCTTTTATCAATTGTACAAAAAAATGCGGTAAAATCAATCGAATCAATGGGCCTAATTATATATAAATTAAACTTAAAAAAAAAAGAAAGAAAGAAAGAAAATGAATTGCTTTCCTTACAGTTCTTTTGAGTTCACCTTCAAGAACACAAGTTTGGACAATGTCTGAGGCTTCAGACTCATGCGGTTGTTGCGGAGATAACCGTCTCTGCCCTTGCAGACCGGCTTGGGATGCTGAACACAATGCGAGCTTCTTTAGCCAGGCGGGGAAAAGAAATGGAGTCAGACTCGTGGTGTGAGTGGAGCGAAATTGGAGCGGGAAATAGGGCGACGCTCAGTCCTTTAAAAAAAATGCCCCTTTGCGCTCTGTCCAAGATCCGCCCGCTCGCGCTCCACTCCGCTCACATGCTCTGAGTCTGCACCGGAATGAACAAATAGTCTCCGAAACGGATTGAAGCGCGCATGTGAAGATGCGAAGACTGTGTGTGTGAACCACGAGATACACTGTAACCGCGCTACCGATCGCAGGCGGCAAAGAGCACTTTGATCACTTGATTTAAAAAACAACGTATTTCAGGGCTAGATCGCTTCTTTTATTTTACAAACGAACTAAATTAATGGTCTGTCAGTTGGAGATGTTTTATTTATTTCTACTGTTAGATCCGTGCCGCGAGAGCTTTTAAAAGTGGTGGGGACAATATCGACCCTGGCAAAAAGTGGTGGGGACATGTCCCACCCGTCCCACCCGCAAATTACGCCCCTGGGTGTATGTGAGATTACAGCATAGAGTCGAGAGAGTGCTATTGTTCTTTCATGCGCACTGAAATTTAAAACTGTTAAAAGAAAAGGCTCAAAAAACTGTTGCATATAGAATACACTAAGCATTAGTGCTGCACGATTAATCAAATCGCAATCGTAATAGCGATCTCAAACCTATGCAATTATATAACGCAAAATGCCGCGATTTTATATGAAATAAACAAATTAGGGCTATTAACGCAGCATCTCTTCATTTTTGTCATCCTTTGACTAGTGTTACACGATCCCGCTCTTATTCGTGCAAATGCCTTTTCGCATTTTGCACGACAAGAAGTGAAAAGCTGCCTGTGAATGCCCTAAATGAGACTCGCAGAAAGACGCGCGCCATAATGCGCATGCACTGACGCGTGCCAGAATACAGTTCTCTTTCGAGCTTGAACGAACAATAGCACACACAATTATGCCAAAATGTCGTTTTGTCGAGTATCTTCATAACGTAAGAAAAGTCTTATGGACGAAAAGAGTTGTGCTATGAGGCGCATGTGAGA